TGTGATATAAAAATAGATCTATAAAACGTATGCAAGATAAATTGTTTAAAAAACACGAAAAATAATACATTGAAAATGAAGAACTTGGTTGTGTAGTCAAAAATTGATACAATCAACAAAAAAATCTTTGAAAAAATCACAAAACACAAATAAAATCGCCCGGAGGTTGACGTCGGTGGAAAACCGAATGACTCACGGGTAAGCCGCGCCGCGACGAAGAGTTTTAGACCATCTGCGGCAAACGGACGGCGTCGGATTCGGCGGAGCCGAGGGGGCGAAACCTGGAAAAGACGCTAGATCTATAGAAGAGAGAGAAGGGAGAGAGAAGGGAGAAATTACTTCAGAAGGAACCTTTTGTTCATTTCATCATCAAGTATCTTGTTTAATTAACATGTTCTGACCGACTGTCCGGGAGGATATTCAAAAAACACCTCCATATTCCAGTCTTATATATCATTAATTATTGAGTGAATTCCATAAAAGGTCCCCGGTTATAGTTCGTTTTACATATTTTGTCCCTACATATCAAATATCAATAATTTAGTTCCCAATTATTATATTGTTTTTCACGAATGGTCCTTTGTTAACATTTTCGTTAAAAACGCGGATAAAATTGTAACTTTGCGCTCCTCTCTCTCCTCAATTAAGCTTCCTCCCTTCTCTCGCACTCTTTTTCCAAACCCGTCACCGAGCTTAAGGGTAAAAGTTATTTTTTAATAGAAAGTTGAAGTGTTTTATTGAGAGTGGAAAATAATGAAAGAGAAAGTGTTTTTGAGAACAGATGGAGTAGATTTTTAGGATTACTTTTTGAAACACTACGGGGTATTCAATTACGGATCGGATTTTGAAATCCCGATAATATTTTTTGGTTTATTTCGGGATTAGAAACTAAATTTATTTTGAAACACTATGGGGTATTCAATTTTTAGTTTTTTTTGAACTTTATACTATGTTTGGTTGGTTCAAGGAATTTAGAAGGAAATAAAAGAAAATGGTTTTCCTTCTGATTCCTCACCAAAATAAAACAACAACAGCCCAGTTGAATCCCACAACAGTAGGGTCTGGGGAGGGTGTGTGTACGCAGACCTTGCCCCTACTCGGAAGTAGGGAGGCTGTTTCCAAGAGACCCCCGGCTCCACCTGCACAAAAATATGGAAGAGAACACAGTATAGCACAGATAAGGCACCAAGTACAAGCAACAAGTACAAACAATAGCAAAAGATTCTCAACAAATACAACACACTACAAAACAACCTCTACAACACCGAGCTCCTATCCAGCTACTCTAATCCTAGTTCTCCAAAGGTTCCTATCTAGGGCCATATCCTCAGTCAGGTCGAGAAGTCCTAAATCCTGTCTTATCACCTCCTCCCAATTCTTCTTAGGTCTACCCCTTCCCCTACTTCCCAGGATAACAGTACTCCTCTCGCATCTCCGTACAGGGGCGTCAGCATCCCGCCGTCTCACATGGCCAAGCCACCTCAACCTCGCTTCCCGCAACTTGTCTTCCACCGGTGCGATACCTACTTGACGTCGGGTAACCTCATTCGAAATCCTATCCAACCTTGTCTTCCCGCACATCCATCGTAACATTCGCATCTCCGCCGCATGCAGACGATGCATATGAGTCTTCTTAACCGCCCAACACTCTGCCCCATATAACATAGCAGGTCTGACTACGGATCGATAGAACTTACCTTTCATTCTAGGCGAAATCTTCGAATCACACAACACCCCTGAAGCTAACCGCCATTTGGCCCAAGCCACTCCAACCCGATGTCCAACATCCGCATCTAACTCCCCATCCGCCTGAATTACTGAGTCAAGATAACGAAACCTGTCTACTTTAGGTACTAGGTGAGAGTCAATCTTGACTTCCACCTCTGATTCTGTATCCCGGCCACTGAAACGACATTCTATGTATTCAGTCTTGTTCCTACTTATTCTGAATCCTTTAGTCTCCTCACCAAAGTAAAAGGAATTTGGTTTTTCCTTCATTTTCTTTTCCTTCCACTTTTTTTCTTTTCTTCTCTAACCAAATAAGAAAAATATTTTCCTTCTCATTTTCTTGTCCATTCCCTCGTAAATTCCTTGAACCATACAATGTGTTAAAAAGTCTAAGGATTTGGAAATCCATAGACTCCATATAGAGTTTGACCTACTTTTTAATTGATTTATGTGGATTCTGGTCTGACTCTTTTATTGATTTAAGATCTGAATTAAATATCTACAGACTTTCGTGATAGAATTTATGATGGGATAGTGATAACTGGATTGAGCAATAAGACATTTGGGATGAACTACATTAAAAGATTGAATTCAATTGATTAGTTAGTTCAACATAAAAGCTTATATACCGACTATTTTACTCTTAGAAATTTGATGTGGGAGACACATGGATGAGGCAATGATAACCGAATAGAATTTATGATGAGGCAATGATAACCATAATAGAATTTATGATGAGGCAATGATAACCGAATTGATCTATAAGACACTTGGATTAGATCTTTACATTTCTCTCCATCTAACGGCCCAAATTAAACCTTTACATCTAAAGGCTACCATTCTTTTCTCCTCCCTTATTTACATCAATTATGCTAGAGACACACTAAAAGTGTTTCTTAAGTTGTATTCTAAAAAGATATACTACGTAGTAAATTTTAACGATTTACATTGGTAGAAAATATTAGTTCAATTAAAAAAATACTTATTTTTTTTATTAATGTAAATAATCATAATAACATCACACTAGCACAAAATGTCGGTGTATGCCTGTGAAATACAAAATGAGTACAAATTTTGGTGTACAAATAGTTTAATCATATTTACATTCGTCCAAAATATAAGTAATAATTATTATTTGGATCTCTCGATAATTTTTGTTTGTTTACTTATTTTGGTAAAACATTTGATCAAGTAAAATATTTTTATCGCGTCTTATTTTGTAAAACTTTTGATCTATATTTGAATGTGTAATTTTTTATTTTTTATTTCTCTACCAATTTGTTAATAAAGTAATTTTAAAAAAGATGATATTTTACACGTCGTTTGACATTTTATTTACATGATGGAGTATAAAATGATAGAGAGATAAAATATAAATATAATTGCGTCCAAAAGTACAAAAAAAGTTCAACAAAACAAGATACGATGGTGATATATTATTTATTAAACGGGCAACTAAAATAAGTGAATAAACCAAATTTTCTCAAGAGACTAGAATAGTAATTGTGTCATTCTTTTTTTTAAGTGAGTGCAATTTTTTATAAAAGGAATAGAATAAATTGTATATATTAATTCTTCTTCCTCTTTATAAACTTCGATCAAGTAATTTCATTCTTCTTAAACTAAATCTTAAAAAACAATTTGGAAAAAAAAAATTGAGACGAGAATATAAACGTAGTAAACTACTACGGCCATGTTGTTCTCAACTTATTTTTTAATTTATTATTTATTCTTATTAAAATCAGATCAATTTATATGTGGTAAAGCCAGATCAAAAATAGCTTTAAATAAACCTATATTCATATCGGATCGGATCGAAACTTATTTGAATCAAATCAGAACCAATTAGATCAGGTGAAGTATTTACGGCCTAACTCTGTATCGAAAAGAAAAAAATTACTTATTTACAAATCATTTTATATGCAAAATATGTGTAACTGAAAATAAAACTAATATACTTTAAAATTATATTAGAAGACGTACAAACTAGTTGTAACAAGACTAATTTATTTTATCATATGGGCAAGAAATAGTTGAGCAAAATAAATAAAATTTGATTCTGTAAATAATGAATGTGAAGATAATTCATCTACAGATGTAATATTATACTCTATTTATCCTAAAATATACTTCCAAGTTTAACTCCCGCGCTAAAACTATTTGAACACTAAACACATATAAAAAAACATTGAATTTTTGTATAAGTTTGATATCAATAGATTTATTTTGAATCATAGTTTTGAAATATTTTATATTCATTATTTTAGATTATTCTAAAAAATTATCATCATCATTCCTCTCTCTCTCTCTCTCTCTCACTCACTCTCTCTCCGTTTATAAATTTAAATCAAAGAATTTCATTCTTCAACTCCTAAATTAAATTAAAATTATTTTTTAATTTTTATAATAATAATAATAGTAATAAATAAAGTGATAATAATATTAATAATATTAATAGTAAATACTATTATTAATAATAAATAATAATTATTGATGGGTATATGAGTACATCCTCACACCCGGCCCAAAATTTCGAAAGGGACAGGTCAAAAGTTGACCGGTTACTTTCTTCCATTACAAAATGAGACAAAATCTTCGAAAGAGACAGGTTGAAAGTTGACCGGTCACTTTCCTCAAAAATAGACCGATCACATTTTGGGCGATAGCCGAAATGTCACTTAATGTCACGAAGGATGCTACGAAAGACCAAAAGGTAGTCATGAGCTTAGAAAATGATCGGGAAACCTTTGAGGAAAGGTGACCGATCATATCATTTTACTTGACTAACATTTGTCCAATTCCTAAGCATGACGATCCACATCAAAGATCAAGGGACCATCCCGCCGCTCAACATTCACGAGGCAAGCAGTGGAAGGAATATTTGTCATCTTATAGGAATGATTGCACATGGACATCCTCTTAAAATCATTGATTGAACAGTGTTTCTTGATTGTATTCATGGAGATGCCATGATTGAATAGCAATGTGCAGTGACCTTCCTGCAGACTTCCTATTTTGTTCCTGGATGAAAAGGGGAAGGTCACGTATCCTCCTCTATAAATATGTTAATTGTGGATATAGGAGGGATCCACTCTTTGTCTCACTAAAAGTACACTTTTGAGACGGAGTAAGAAATATAATTCAGACTGAGGATATTTACCCAGTCTATGCCATACTTTGTGTTTTGATTGTGTGTATTTTACTACGAGTAGAGTCTGTGTCCATGTTAGACCTGGTTAACTTACCCAGTTATATTTACACCATCAATAATAATAATAATAGTAATAAATAAAGTGATAATAGTAGTAAACATATTACTAATTGTAATAATATATTAAAAATAGTAATAGTAATCGTAATAATTACAATAGTCATATTAATAATAAAACTTTGTAATAGTAAGGATAAAAATAATATTAACAATAGTAATAATCATAATAATAATAGTAATGATACTATTAACAATAATACTAATAGTAATAATAATAATAATGATAATAATAATAATAATAATAATAATAACTATAACAATCATAATAATAATAGTAATAAAAAGTAGAAATATGAATAATAATAGTAATAGTAATAATAATTATAATCATAATAATATTGGTAATAATAGTGGTAGTAGTAATGATAATAATAAGAATAATAATTTTTGATTCGATATGATATGATTGAACCTGATCGCTTGATGATATGATCTAGTTTGATCTAATTTGATCTGAGTTATTTAAAAAAATATGTTCATAAAAAATTATACGAAACTTAATTTTTAAAATCATAAGTATTTTTAATACTAAAAGAGATTCACTTTTAAACTTTAAAATGATATAATATCAAGAAAGATGAGTTTTGTGACAAATTTCTTAGAAGTGAAAGGAACACATAGTGTTTAAGATTTTATATAATGTTTAATTGTAATATGTAATTTATTAGTATGTAATATGCAGATAAAATGTGATAGCCTTGTAGAATACGAAGTAACATTTATATTTTCTAATATTTGGTTAATTTAATACCGAGTAATAACTATACACTCTCTTTACTACTCCTTCGTCCAACAATAAAGTCCACGTACACTATTAATAAAGTCAAACTTTTTTCAATTTGTTGTGACCTATTTTTGTTACTTATTTGATAAAATAACATAGTCATGTAACATCTACCTTTAAAATGATTTGAAAAAAAACTTTAATAAAACATTGCTTAACATGAACTTTATTAATGGACGGAGGGAATATATAAATAAGAATTGATTATTGATTTTTTATTACTTTAAAATTATTAAAATTTTTTAATAATTTTAAATTTAATTTAAATAAAATTTAAATTCATTTACGCTAGATCTAATCAGAGTAAAATCATAGTTAATAACATCAAATCAATAAGTGAGAAAGAGATTAGATCTAAGCAGAGAAAGAATAAGTGGAGTTAACGTCTAGCCAGAGAAACCATGGCTGAGATGCTAAGGATACGCCTTCCAGCCAGAACGCCGGCCAACGCCCATCTCCGCCGCAATTCTTCGTCGGCCCTGTCGGAGTTCGCCCGTCATCATCTAGGTAACTCGATCCCGTTTTCCGAAGCCATCCACAGTTGGAGCTGTCGACAGCACAAGATGAACTGCAGATTTAGGTTTTCTTGCCTCTTCAATGGCAACAACAACAAAGAGGTATGCATTTCCTAAAATTTCTGCAAAACTAATTCATTTTTCATTCGGAATCTTTACAAAAAATTCAGTTTTTTTGTTCCGCACGCTAATTATTGACTGAATTAAAATGGCACATCATTGCATATTTGCATTAACCTCCCCATTGATTCAATTGGGTCTTTGTAAGAAGTTTTGGGTAGTAATTGGATGAATGTCAGTTGGATTATACCGGATTTCTTGTTATTATTTCGTAATTGAAGCTTGTTGATTGAATTCCAACCAACAAGAACTGCAAAACTAAGGCTCACACAACTACCCAAGTACTCTAATCCTAGTTCTCCCGGATTTCTTACCTAAGGTCATACTTTCAATGTAAAAAATATAAAGAAAAGTTGTTTGAATTCCGCGGACCAATTCTATGGCAATTTGTGAGACTAGATTTGCATTTTGAAATTGTCCAAACTCTCCAAACTATTTGGACATGGCATTTGTAGTAAATCTCATTCTAGTCACATTTTACCTAGATAGAATCCACGGCACACTCTTGTGGGACATTGTTGGGTTTATTGTTGCTTTGATGGTTGTTGTTGTAGAATCATCATGTATAAGTTGTCTGGAACTTTAGCCTGTATTGGGAACTCAATTGCAAAGTCTCAACTCCTAAGTAAATGCAACATGTACACTTCTTAATGTCCAAATGGGCATATACGTAGCCAGTAAAGTAAATGCATATGAACGAAATGATCCTTTATGCTTCGTTCGGATGGGTAGAGAAAATGGGAAAAAAAGGAAATGATAGGAAAGAAAATGAAGAGGAGAGAAAATTGAAAGAAAATGATTATTGTTTGGGTGAGTAGAATATGGAGAGAAAATGAAAAAAATGGAGAAAATGTGAAAAAAGAAAAAAGGGAAAGAAGGAAAAATAGATGAGGCTCCCTTATTGGTTCATCCCATTTTCTTCCCAATTGTCCCATTTTTGTCGAGAGAAAAGTTTTTGTGTGGGTCCTACCACTTTTTCCCCCTTCATTTTATTCCTTATCGAAACAAGAGAAAATGCCATGAACTCCGTGTTTTTTCTCTTCTCTCATTTTCTTTCTCTCCATTTTATCTTCAACTGAACACACTATTAGTGTTGTTTTTCTTGAATTAATCGTCTTTTACTACTATTTTTTTTAAATGAACGAATGAAAGGAACAAGCCAGGAAAGCATTGGAAAATGCCCTTGGTGGAAAGAGAGCTGATTATGAGAAATGGGACAAAGAAATTAAGAGAAGGGAGGAAGCAAATGGAGGTGGCAATTCCGGAGGAGGCGGTGGCTGGTTTAGATGGTTTGGTGGTTCGGATGGGGACCATTTTTGGAGAGAATCTCAGCAAGCAATCTTGACAATTCTAGCTATCATTGCCGTGGTGAGCCACCGGAGATCTCTAAGGGCATGTTTGGATGGATGATTTTGGAAGGCTTAAACTATATCTTGATAAACAGAATGCTTCTAAAAACCCGCCAAAGGTTATTGAAATGGTATAAGTCTTCTTTCCAAAATCTTCCCATCCATCCAAACAAAAAGGTACTAAGTAAAATATGGCTACTGATCTACTTTCTTTATCAGTAAGACCTTTGCCTTCTTTTGCAGTATCTGGTAGTTGCCAAAGGCGAAGTGATGCTCGCCATCGTTTTCAACCCATTGTTGTTCACTTTGAGAGGAGCAAGGGACAGGGTCAGTTATGTAATTTCACGCGCTGTAAACAAAGTAAGCCCTAAAACATCCCAACCAAATTCCTCCCATGTTTCTTCTGCTAAAGAGAGTGTAATGAGAAAATGGGGGCAGTGAGTCGAGGTCAATGTAGTAGAAGCAATGAAACAACTCCCAGGTTTTGTAGCAAATGCTTTTGCATAGCTTAGAACTGTGATGTTCAAATTGTTGCCCGGGAAATCTTGTGTACAATGTGGTATGATCAATGTTTAAAATATTCCGTTTCATCCTGTGCTTTCTCAATTTTTGTTATCAGCATGTTCAGCATTGATAGAGGGTAAAATTAAATAAAATATTGTTCTTTATATCAAGTAATTTTAAACTGTGTTTATATCATCAGAAATGTTTAAAATATGTTTCCTAATCAATGAATTTCTCATAAACACTGCATATTGTATTTCGAAGTTAGATTATGTGCTTAAGTTTAGATGAATATGGCTTTCCATTTTTTCCCTTGTAATAAAGTTTAAGCATATGAATATAGCTGCTTGGCTAATTTAATCTCTTTGACCACATTGTTAAAAAAATATTTGATTACTCCATATAATGAAAGTTAAATATAATAAAATTTATTTTATGATATAATTTTGATATGTTAAATTTTTATATCATTTATTTATTTAAAATTATACGAGAATTTATTTAATTATCAAAGAGACCACCAAAATCAAAATAGTTATATGATTTTGAAGACAAAAGCTATAACGATAAGAAAGAAAATGGTATTCCAAAATTCACTCTACTTCTTTTTGATATATCATACCTTTGGTAAAAAAAATAGATAAAGAAGAAAATTTATTAGAATAACACTAAAACATAGTAAATTTTTCTATTTAGCACTGCGAGTTTTAATTTCCATAACTACTACCTAATTAATTAATTATTAAATTTAGTGTACTAAAATGCCTTTTATTTGATATTATATTTACTGTCACATCACTTTTACTTATTACTTATTCTTATTGAATTGGAATCAGATCAAATCAGACGAGATCAGATTAGAAATAGATTTAAATATAACTATACTCAAATCTGACCAGACCAAATCAGATAAGAATTTATTGCAATCAGATCAGAACCAATCAAATCAAGTGAAGAAAACATGACCTAAATATAACTATATCCAGATTGCATCAGAATTTATTTCAATTAAATCAGGTGAAGTTCTGTAAGTGTGGGAATATTAAAAAAAAAGAGAATCTTCCCTGGATATGAGTAAAAAAGTATGAAAATACTAAAATAAGACCCAAAAGTCTTTTAAGACTAAAACAAGAATATAATGACAATGTGGTGTAAGAGTACGCATTGACAGTGTGATGAAAATAGTGACGATAGTATAATATATTAGTGTGATTAGTCAATCGTTGGTGATGTGCAGTGACACAATGGTGTTCGGCAACGACGGATGACACTGCAGCGATGATAGTGTGACAGTTACTAAGGGTGTTCAAATATATCTGATCTGAAATATCCGTCTACGATCCGGGTAGATCCGATCCAAAAAATGGATACCCAATCCGATATTATAGTTTTCGAATATGGATTCAAAGTCTGGAATTTTTTGGATAATCAGATATTTGATTTTTTTACTATATGTTTAATTAAATTTTATGGGTATATATTTTGTCTATATGTTTCGTGAAATTTTATGTTAATTTTGGAATTCAAGCATTTTGAACATTTTGCATTAGCATTTTGGAATTTTTTATTTTAGTATTGCTTTTTTTTTTAGGTCAAATTACCAAAGTTACTCTCAAATTGAATTTAGTATCATTTTTATTAGGTTATTACCTAGTGGTGGAATTTTACCTTTAGTAAATCTATATTGAATTTGATATTGTGGGTTTATTTTACTCCGTACTATTTTAACCTTTTTTTTGGAAATTTTGGCTAAAAAATTAACTTTTTGGATAACCCAATGTTTCCATTTGAAAATTTTGATATTCAAATTTCAAATATTCGAAAATGTTCAGATCGGATATGGAATGAGCTTTAAATGATCCCAAATTTTTGGATATCTGAATTTTCGGATCAGATCACAATCTGATTGAACACTCCTAATAGTTACAATGTGACAATGTAATAATAACAGTAAAAACTTTTATTTTAGTCTTGATAAATTTATGAATTTTATTTTGATATTTTCATTTCGTGTTCTCCCCGTTAAAGAAATGACTCCGGCCAAAAAGTTAAGGCAGGCAAGAAAGAGCACCGCCCTGTAGAACATTTGACTGACGACAATCCGTCTATGGCGCCTCCTTCGATTTCAGCTTTTCACGGGGATTAACAGTGCATCCGCCATTCACGCCCCTCTCTCTCTCTCATTCATTCCCAGGATCACCACAGGACCATTTCCCCTTTCCCCACAACTTCCTCCAGCAAACCCTTCCCTTCTCTCTCTCGATCTCTTCCTCAAATGTTCATTTTCTTGCTGTTTCTCCATCTGGAATCTGTTTGACAAAATTCCCCAGAGAAAGATTTCTCTCGCTTTCCCAAAATTTGGCGTTCTTGGAATAAAGTTCGATTCTTTCCATGAAATCCTTGCGTCTCCGTGTGTGAGATTCTTGATTTGCCTCTTTTTTTCTTCTTTCTTTCTTCTGTTGATGTCATTGGGTGGTGGGGTGGCTTCGGGCTCGGAGGCCATGGGGTTTGATGAGAAGAAGGGGGAGGAGGAAGAGGAGATCACGCCGGGTTCCGAGGCTAACAAGGTTGCAGATTCGGATGCCGAGACGGACAGTGAAGCACCAGTTGCAGGGCGGCATATGAGCCAGAGTTCCCTTTACACCACTGAGGATGAGGAGGAAGATGACCCTGCAAATAAGATTCAGTTGGGTCCTCAGGTCACTCTCAAAGAACAATATGAGAAGGACAAGGTGTGTTTTTATTTTCTTATTGTTCTCTAAGAAATCTACCTAAATTCCTCCTATGATTCAAAGTGTTGGCATTGTCAAACACCCACAATTTGGTTTTTTATTGTGTTGGCATTATAAATCCTATTTTTTGTCTTGGTAGGTGGATCATGTTTTAGACCTAGGTAGTATCTGTTCCTTCTTGTTTTCTCTTGATTATTGTATTTCCTTGTCTTTTTTTATCTGAATTTTTATGACCTTCATTTTGTGAGATTCAGGATGATGAGAGCTTGAGAAGGTGGAAGGAACAACTTCTTGGTAGTGTGGACATCAATGCTGTTGGAGGTATGTATTGGTGAACTTTTCCTTATATGGTTCAAAAACTCTTCTTGTAATGCATATTTCCGAGCTCGGCAGGCTAATATTGACTTAGTGATATCTGTATTAAGTTCGGTAGTGTTAAATTCCATTGAAGGATGAAACTGTGAATATTAAGTGCTTTGATACGTAAAGAATTACGGCCTTATCGTTTTGCAAAACTCAAAGATCAAAAACCATTGTTTTGGACATTTGGTTATGATCTTAATAGTGCTTACTAAACCAGCATCCCGAAGCGCCGCAAAGTGATGTTAAAACACAAGACAATGGATTAATATTGTTTAGCATTTTAGATAGCACTCATAAGAAAAAAACAAGATTCCCATCGCAGAATTAGTCGAAATTGTCTTGTTTGTTTTAGACTCAAAATAAAGAATCATGTGAATGCAGAATCACTGGATGCAGAAGTGAAGATACTGAGCCTTACGATCCAATCTCCAGGCAGAGAAGATATTGTCCTCCCAATCCCAGAGGGTGGTAATCCTCGTAGCCCATGGTTCACATTGAAAGAAGGAAGCCGCTACCGCCTCAAATTTGCATTCCAGGTCACCAACAACATAGTTTCTGGTCTGAAATACACAAACACAGTCTGGAAAACTGGCATCAGAGGTTCTTATCTTAAATCTAAATCTCTCCCCTTCTCTCTACATTTTCTTATCTTAAACGGTCAGTTTTAACTAATATTAACAACTGGTATATTTTTCAGTTTTTACTGATATTAACAAATGGTATTTTTTCAGTGGATGGATCGAAGGAAATGATTGGGACGTTTAGTCCCCAAATAGAGCATTATACTCATGAAATGCCTGAAGAGACTACTCCTTCTGGCATGTTGGCAAGGGGGTCTTACTCTGCAAGGACCAAGGCGAGTTTCTTGAAAAATTTTGTTATCAGTCCCTGAGATTTATCTTCTTTTTCATTCTAGTCCCCCCTCACACAAGTCTCACGTATTTGATTTTCAACGCACAGTTCCTGGATGATGACAATAAGTGCCACCTGGAGATCAACTATACATTTGAGATCAAGAAAGAGTGGCCGGCAACATAGTTTGATGATGAATGCTTTTTCTGTCTATCTTGTGGAAGTTAGGATTGTTGCCTGAGACTTCTCTTTCTTTTCTTGCTCAGTTGGTAGTTGAATTATGTCTGTCTTTTCCACTGGTTTTTCTTGTTAGGGGTTGCAGAACTTGATGGCAAGTTATGTCCTTGGTTGTTTTGTTCAATAAAGACAGTTTTGGACATCCACAGTTTGTTAAAATCTTCATTTCCAGTCTTTCAAGGGTGAGTTGATCTAGAATGGATGACCAAAATGTTTTTGAGTGAGAACTCCCAAAGAGACTTAACATTTTCAAAGTGAGTATACACTTAATATTTACTCCCTCCGTTCATTAATTTCTTTCTCACCTTCTTTTATAGCCTGTCCAAAAATTTCTTTTTTGTTTCTTATTTAGGCAATTTTTTTAATTAAAGCGTTATTATATCATTACTTTTTCTCTATATTATATACTTTATTTCATCACATGAAGTTAACATATGAAAAAGTCTTTACATTTTTTAATTTTTCTAAATCTTCGTACCAAATCCAAACCGGTTTAGGACGGGAGTATGGTTATTTAGTTTTGTAAAGTCTAACTTGAAGATATTGGGTTCTTTATGATATTTTGAAACAGCCCTTTGTTGTGGCATTTGTGTTACAATCCAACCAGGACAATGTAGTTCGATTGGATAGAAAATATTGAACATTTTGCTTCATTCTACATAAGGGCACCATGATCAGTCTTTCCTTATTTCCGGTTAAGGAACATTGCCCTTATGTGCATGGAGAACCTCTAAACGCTATAATTGATCCATACACTTTCCTTTTGAAGTACACTAATAATGGACACACAAAAGTCATAACTTCAAGAGGAAAAGGCAGTAACTCTTAATTAACATGAAATGATCGCCTTAAAGGCACTTGAAAGCAAGAAACCAGCACTCTATTACCAACATATATGGATTATACTTCAACATACAGAATTGAGAGCCCAATGAGTAGAAACACCAAATGAAACCAATCCTTCAATAACTTTGCTTTAAATATCAACTAAGCCAAATAATATCAAAATGCTAGTAGAAAAACAGCATACTAAACTGCACCAAAGCAAACGAGCCGAGTATTTCGGCCTTGAGATGCACAAGAACCATATCTCTACAATCAATGGGAGATAACTTCATAGCTAATGGGAATATAAAAAAACTTGGCATTCAAATATGAGTTTTGATTGAACAGAAGAGTAGAGAAAAGCAACAGAAACAAAAACAAGTTTATATATTAGAGATATTCAAGAGGTACTGACTTCTTCCTCTAAAAGACCAAAGCATGAGGTTTCATGCCATCCTTGAGAGAAAATCTTGCACCCAAATAAGTCTTCAAATCTGGCACTGATTCAATGGCCTTAAGCAAAACTCCATCAACAGCCTTCTGGTCATCCTTCTTCTCTTGCGGCAACACATTCTTCTCCTGCAATTACCATTACAATCATGAATGTAACCACATTGGAAGAGAAGATTCATTACAGAAATGAAGATAATTAAAGAGGAGAAATAAAAGAACCTCTTTTTGGGATTCGAAGAACTCTTCTTCGGTCTTCTTCTTCTTCTTTTCTGCCTTCTTAGCGAAGTACTTGTCGTCAATCTTCTCCAAGCTAACACCAGAAATGTCAACCTTGGTGGAAGTTGCGATCACATAAGCCTGATTCACGCGCCTGAGAGGAACGCCGTTGATCCTGAGCGGACCGGTGATGAGGAGGAGTCCGGAGGAGAGTTGCTTTAAGAACACAACCCTCTTTCCCTTGAATCGCCCGGCGAGGATGATCAGAACAGTGCCGGGAGTGATACTAGACCGGAGCTTAGTCGGCTTGGGCTTCCGCCTGTTGGCGAGCGGCATCTTGACATCGTCGGCGGGGTAAAACTTCGGCGGCTTCTCGGCCGCCGGCGCCGCGGCGGGCTTCTTCTCGTGATGGGGGAATTTTCCACCGTTTTTGGCCTTGATTGCCCAGAGACCCCTCTTGTGGTACATCTTCGACCTTGAGTAGGTGCCGATGCCCCTGATTAGCTCCGGATTCCGGGGTGTCTTCTTGGCCGCCATTGGAGACTTGCTACGAGCTCCGCTTCAGCAAGGTGATGCGAAAAAAAACCCTAAACCTAAAATGAAGAACGCTAATATAAATACTCCGTATATCTGACGCTATATATGTGTGTGTCTTCCACTTCAATTGGTTATAAATAAGCCCAGCCCGTTAAGCTTTGTCTTGCATTTGCACATTTACCATTTGCCCCTGCCAATAAAAAATAAATGGGCTTGGAACGTAATAATATGCCGGATATTCCAAGTATATTTTTACAAAAACTACTCCCTCTATTTCAATTTATATTACATGTTTCATTTTACGATGTTTGACTATAATTATATTTCTAAATTATTTATATGAAAAATAGTCTAGAATTAAAAAGTAAAATTGCATATTAAGACAATGCATCAAAAGATTTACAAATTGGATGGAATAAATCAAAATGTCTCTGGAAAAAACGAAAACCCGAAATAAAAAAAGAAAAATAACTAAATTAAGACTAAAAAACATAGATAAAGTACTAAATTATAAACTCTATATTTTTTATCTTTAAAATAGGACTAAAAAATACAGGAGATGTCATTATACAATATCATAATGCAAACTGTTATTTTGGGATAAAAACATGAAAATTCTATTTTTAGAATAAATGATATGTTTTACTTATATATTGATTGATTTCTTGAAAAAAGTATTCCACTATCATAAACTTGAATTGATTTTAATTGTATATTCATGTAGAAAGACACTTCTTCCTCGAATTGAAAGAAAAGCATGCAACAAGCTGTGCCGTTAACTCTTTTTGAATCGCAAAACAAGATCTTTTGAAAATTATTTTTATAAAACTAGGTGTCATGACATAACTATACACGATCCGTTGGATTTGATTAAGTAAACCTAAATTTTGGTATAGTTAATTAAGTTTTAGATCGATTCAATCTTTATTTGGAAAATTCAAAATCATAGTTTTTCTAAAATTGTTAAGAGTGAAAGAATTGATCATTGGGCTCAAAAAAAATCAAAAAAAATTAATAATTTAAGATATCAAAATTTGTACTTTATTTTTTGCATTCACCAAATTGTATCAAACTTTAGCAAAATTAAAATTCACCACTCTTGTTTCCACTTTCCAGAACCTGTCAAAATGGGTGCACATACTCGACTCTGACCCGGACCGACCCGGAACTCAATCAAAACAACTTGGACTATCCTTTTGGAATTTGGTCCTAATCATACAATTTTCTTATTTGGGTTTTGGCCCGTTTCACTCTACCTATATACGGTATTTGTTAATGGGTTTTATGATTTTTTTTTGTTTTTGTGTTTTACTTATTAAAATTATTAAATCTTTAACAAAAGATGTTTATATATTTTTGACATAATCAATTCTTTCTTTATATAAAAATATGGGTATTATACTCCATATGAAACTCGGAATATGTTGAAGTTTAGTTTATAACTTTTTCTATACATTTTTCGTCTCAATATAATTTATACTTTTACTATTTAAGTCTTTCGATAATTTTTGTTTACTCACATGTTTTAATTAGTGATTTGATAAAACAAATTTTTTTTATTGCATTTTGTTTTATAGAACTTTTAATTTAGCTTTTAAATACTATATCCGTTTATAAATAAAGTTCTCGTTGCGTGTTACGATGTTTGACTGGAGTTATTTTCAAATCATTTTATAAGAAAAATGTATGAAATTTAAAAATAAAATTACAAATTTAAAAACTACATAAAAAGATGGCATGATTATATTATTTTATCAAATATAAAACGAAAATAGACCAATAAACTTTATCAAATTTAATCTTTTTTATTAAAATCAGATAAGATCATACTAAAATAGATTAAAAATAATTTATATTTAACTATGTTCAAATCAGATCAAACAATACCAAATCAGAATCATTGAGATAACAGAAAATGACCAAAGTATTTTATGGAGCACTTTAAAAAATGTTAAAAAATGGCCTTGCCAAACATAGAAAAAAAGATTTCTATATCCCTCCCTAATTACGCTATTAGCTACCTTGGGGAAAACTGTACCGCCATGAAAATCCAAAAATGAACTCCAATTTATTAACCTTCCTAAAGCCCGCAATCGCATTCACGGTCACCGTCAGCTTCACCGTTCTCTTCATCGTGTTCCCTCGCCCGCCGGCCACCGCATATCCCGGCGAACCCGACCCGATGGCCCGACGCTCCTCCTCCTCCTTCATCCTGTGGCTCCACGGGTTGGGCGATTCGGGACCCGCCAACGAACCCATCAGGGACCTCTTCACTTCTCCGGAGTTCAAAAACACCAAGTGGTCGTTTCCTTCTGCGCCTAATAACTCCGTCACCTGTAACCGTAAGTCCCCGCCGCTGATTTCTTCCCTGGAAGTTTCTTCAGTACGGATTTCTATGCATATTTTTTGTATTTGTGATGCGTTGAGAGAGTGGGATTGATATTTGGTTTAGGAAATGAAGCTGATTTAGTAAGAATCGTTTAATGGAATCGAATTGGGAATTGTGCAATGTAATCGAAATCAAAGGTTGGAGAAGTGCCTTAGCATTAGGTTTCCGGCCATTAAATCAATTGTCCCGATTGAAATCATCTTTGGACTAAGTTAATTATTGGCCGTTCTTATAATTTTCAGATTTTTTGTGCAAAAATTAAAATTAGGTCACTACAATTTGTAGTATATTGGTTGTCTTTAGGTCTTCAGAAAGACTTCTTTAGAGCACTTATATTTAGTTTGTTATGATGTTAACTGTAATTGAGCAAATAGAACAACTCTTTATCCGCACCCTGTAAAACAAATCAACTTACCAGTGACATTTTGCCGGATACGTTATGCATCTCATGTTTTTTTTGTGGTTTAGACGGTGCTGTGATGCCATCATGGTTTGACATCCACGAAATACCCGTGTCTGCTGTAAGTTTCTATTTCATCTTAAAGCCAACATTTGCACTTTTCCCATGTCTTGTCTTCCTTCGTGTGATGGTTATTTTTGAACACCTATGAATCTTCAACACAATTGTTGAATGTTAGAGATATGTTGTTATGTAGTGTATGTAGTTCAAACAAAAAAGATCAATACTTTGCGGCAGTAGATTTGTTTTTGATACGAGTGAAGATCACCAGTATACAGAGTATTTCTATAGATCAATTAATAATTTTTGCTACGAATATGTTCTACATATTAAAATATTTTTTGAAAAATATATCTGTATTTTGAACAATCTTGCATAAATATATTTCTAAATATTTAAACTATAAAATCTTCTCTCTCTATTTTTATAGATTACGGTTGTTCTTAATCTAAATGACTGATTGTTTACAACAACAACAAACATAGTAAAATCCCACAAGACACTAACGTCTGGGAAGAGTAGGATGTATACGCATACCTTACCCATAAGTGGAAATAGAGATTTAGAGAGGTGATTGTTTACAACATAAATTTACTCTGTAATTATTTAAAGCTGGTTTGTTTGAGTTAATGAAGCTGCACTTTTGTTAAAAAAATACAGCATAATTTTTTTAAATTTTATTAATGCTCCGGGATATAAGTTTGTGGCTAACATTATTCGTGATACTCCGTATGTGTTTACGTGTTTAATATTGATGTCTTTGTCCTTTTTCGTGAAATATGTTTATACCAAAATACAGTGTCAAAATTATCTCCCTAAATTGACTGCCAACGGTTTGCTTTCTGTTTATATATTTTTATTTATTTATTTCTGTGGGTGGTATGCATTTGTCTATGACAATCTTTAGGCTTTAGATGATTTGCTTGATGTTGAAAATTGAAATCTATAGATGTTTTTTCGTAACCATTAATAGAGCTCCCCAAAGGATGAAGAGAGTTTACTCAAAGCAGTTCAGAACGTTCATGCTATGATTGACAACGAGGTCACTCATGGTACAAATCCCAAGGACATATTTGTTTGTGGATTTAGCCAAGGAGGTATTATCTCTCCCCCCTCCCTCTCTCTCTCTCACTCACTCACACACACACACAGTCACACACACAGATGTAAATCTGTCCCCCAAACCACTCTCATCTTTCCTTCCCTTGATAAGAAAGACGGTGTTTATGCTTGGAGCATGGAAAATGTCAGGAAAAGAGAACGAGTACAAAAGAATATTGTTTTCTAAACTCTATGTTTTGACCTTGGAAAATACAAATTTCCTGTATACACTATACACACACACTCCCTAAACTCTACTGTTGTGGGATTTTACTGAATCTGTTGATGTTGTTGTTGTTTTTGTTGTTCTTGTTTTTCTTGTGTATTAATAAATGAAAGTTGAGCATATATCAAAATTTGATTTATTGAATTTTGGACCAATACTCTTATTTTCTCTAAATCCTCTTTTTTTCCAAATCTATTCCCTTTTCCTCCATATTTTCGTTCTCTGGCATTTTCCAAATTCCAACGGGATCCCAGCATTTTCCCAACAATTCCCCCCAACATATTCCAGCATCCAGATGAACCATTAAGAGCTTTAGATCATACATTCTCTATTCCTAAATTGGTGTTGTCACTTGTCATGGCTACACTATTTCTAAGTCTAACACACATGACTAAATTCTGTAGGTGCTTTGACCTTAGCAAGTGTTCTTTTATACCCAAAAACTCTAGGGGGATGTGCTGTGTTTAGTGGATGGGTTCCTTTCAATGATTCTGCATTGGAGAATATAACACCTGAGGCAAAAAGGGTAAGTTTATTTGACACATTAGTATTGAACATATACCCCCACTCCCTTCATCATCCCAAAAAAAGTGTATTGAATGCGATGTATTTACCAAAAGATCATGGTTCTTTTGACACCAGAACCACTGTAGCATTTTGGCCCAAAATGCTAGGGAGGATATGGTGGGGGCATGGGGGGTAGGGCCCAATCCTGGGCGTGGCAGAGCATTGTAGGGCCCCCAAATGGTTCAGGGTCATATTTCTGACACCGAGGACCAGTTTCAAAAGAATCAGCCTCTTACCAAAATTGTTCCTCAAAACCATACTCATTTTAAAATCATTTTTAGAAAGGTTAAAGAAAGACTCAGGGTAAATTGTGAAAATCTTAAAGAATTTAAAGATGGATTGAAAAGAAAAGCATAATAAATGACATGGGACCTATGGAGTGTGTATAAATCTATACTAGTTTGTCCTCCACATCTGTTTTGTCCTCAAATAGAATGTAGAATTGGAACTTGTTTTCTCATCAAGCATTAATGACACTTAGCTTATCAACCATAAACGTCACGTTGAGATTATTTTTTGTAAAAATTGAGTTGGTTTGGGATATAAAGATTGGCTGAATTAAATTGAAGTTGCATAAGTTGTTGAATGTGGTTTGCAGACACCCATTTTATGGTCTCATGGTATGGCTGATAGAACAGTACTCTTTGAAGCTGGACAAGCAGGGCCTCCTTTCCTTGGCCGTGCCGGAATTCCTTGCGAGTTCAAGGTACTTGCTACTTCGCCGCCACC